GAAACCATATGAAGCAAAACTGTGGGTAAGAGAGTACTATGAAGGGACCATGACTAGGAGAGGAATATGAAGGGCATATTCTTTGGTCAGCTTTAAATTTATTTACTAAAGAACTGAGACCACTCTGATAAAAATCAGTGGGCTTGTATACCTGATCATTTCCATTTTGACTGGAGGGAGATGAAATCTCAGTGTAGTTTTTAATTTGCATTTCTCTAACTGCTATAAGTGTTGAATATTTTTTCATTTATTTTTGTTGAAGAATTGTATTTCTTCTTCTGTGAAGTGCCTGCTCATTTCCTTTGTCCATTTATTATTTGGGCTATTTGTTTTTTTTTTTTTTTCATGTTACATTTTTTGAGTTCTTTATATATCCTAGAGATTGATGCTCTATCTGAGGTGCAGGTGGCAAAGATTTTCTCCCATTCTGCAGGCTCTCTCTTCACATTCTTGATTGTTTCCTTTGCTCTAAGAAGATTTTTAATTTGATTCCATCTTATTTATTTATTTTTTATTTTACTTCTTGTGCTTTAGGAGTCTTGTTAAGGAAGTCAGTTCATAAGCCAACATGATAAAGATTTGGGCCTACTTTTTCTTCTCATAAGCACAAAGGTCCCTGGTCTAATACCTAAGTCCTTAATCTATTCTGAGTTGAGTTTTGTGCAGGGTGAGAGATAGGGGTTTAGTTTCATTTTGCTATATATGAATTTTCAGTTTTCCCAGCACCATTTGTTGAAAAGGCTATCTTTTCTCCAATATATGTTTATGGCATCTTTGTCTTGTATGAGATAACTGTATTTATGTAGGTCTACCTCTGGGTCTTATATTCTGTTCCATTGGTATTTATGTCTGTTTTGGTGCCAGATACCATTTTTGTACTATAGGTCTGTCGTATAATTTTAAGAATGGTATTGTGATGCCTCCTACTTCTCTTTCTTTACTAAGGATTGCTTTAGCTATTCTGGGTCTCTTATTTTTCCAAATGAGTTTCATGACTGCTTTCCTATTTCTATGAAGAATGTCATTGGGGAAAAAGATGCACTCATACATTGCTGGTGGGACTGAAATTGGTGTAAATGCTCTCTCTGGAAAGCAATATGGAGATTCCTCAGAAAACTTGGAATAGAACCACCATTTAACCCAGTTATTCCACTCCTAGGTTTATACCCAGGGAATTTAAAATCAGCATACTACAGTGACACAGCCACATCAATGTTTATAGCAACTCAATTCACAATAGCTAATCTATAGAACCAACCTAGGGGTCCTTCAACAGATGAATGGATAAAGAAATTGTGATATATATATATATATATAATATATATATATATATATATACACACACACAATGGAATATTAATCAGTCATAAAAAAGAATGAAACTATGGCATTTGTCAGTGAGTGGATGGAACTTGACAATATCATGCTAAGTGAAGTAAGCCAATGTCAAAACACCAAAGGCTGAATGTTTTCTCTGATATATGGATGCTAACTCAGGGAGGAATAGGGAAAAATAGAAGTACTTTGGATTAGATAAAGGAGAATGAAGGGAAGAGAGGGAGAATGGGAATAGGAAAAATAGTAGAATAAATTGGACATTACTATCCTATGCGCATATATGATTACACAACCAATGTAATTCTACACTATGTACAACCAGAAGAGTGAGAACTTATACTCCATATATGTATAATATGTCAAAATACATTCTACTATCATGTATAACTAATAAGAACAAATAAAAAATATTAAAAATCAATGGACTATGAATCAAAAGGGATAAAGAACAACAATATAATTGATGGAAATAATTCTCACATCCAGAGGCAAATGGTATCAAAATGTTTTCAAAAGTATAACAAAAGGAGTAACTCAAAAAGAGGAAGAAACAAGGCTCTTGGATTGTTTGACAGTTCATCTAGTAAAGATGAGTAGATCACATGATAAAATATTTGAATTTCTCACCAATTTGACATATGTGTGGTTGATAATGTACTGCCTTTTCTATAACTGCATTTTGAAAAATGGATCAGAGCCCTGCAAATGATTTTCCTTTGCCAGTTGGTACTGAAACCTCATGATGAGAAGGTGCTGGGAAGGCACTGCAGGGGGAAAAGATGAGCTCACTGGCTCTGATGTGCTGAGACAGTTGCTGTAGCACAGAGGACTTCCACATGCAGCATCTCCAGATCAGATTCCTGCAGATATAAGGTTTCCTGGGCGTGGTCCCTGCAGTGCCAGCAGCTTCTCCAGTGCCTGGCATTTGCAATGCACAACAGCCTGCAGCTCCCTCTGGTAAGCTCCTAGGACCACTCTGCAAAGGAGTGTCTTGAATGAGACACCTCCCCAGACCAGCTTTCACCAACACTGAACAGGGCAAAGTTCCAGCAAGTTCTACCAGTGAGCAGCCCAGCAACTTCCCTGCCATTCAGCACTCACAGTCACACCCTCCAACAATGTCTGTATCTCAGTCTTGGTTGTGCAAATCTCAGCTCCGAGATAATGTAGTTTTTTTGTTTTGTTTTGTTTGTTTTGATTAAGCTTTGCCTATTGAATTACTGTGTGGTTTTATCTCCTCATTGTACCCAGGCTGGTACAATATGAAATACCAATACCTATAAAAATAACACAAAAATTATTATTCAAAAGTTGTTCTACACAACTACAACGAAAACATCAATTACTATCTGGTTACTTTAAGTTAGTCTCTGTTCTAGAAAACTTAAATGCCCTGAGAAGCTTATAGCACAGATGTGAAAGAAACTCAAGAGGTTTTTCCAAATTTGACAATGATCTTAAAAATTAACATGACTTTACTAATAATAATTATAAAACTGAAAGAAGCTTTTCTAAGCCAATAAAACACTTAGCTCAACTATGCTGGAGGAAAGATCAAATTATTTTTTGATTATCTTCAATTAGAAAATAATTACAAAATTATAGTGAAGAGGTAATTAAAGAGTACAGCCAAAAAAGGTAGGAAAAATGAACAGAGGTGTGTCAAGCAATTGATTCATAATAATATTCTGATAATTTTTGAACTTTATAACATTTGTGGTATTCATGAGCTTTTAAAAATTTTGTGATTTCCTTTCTCATCTAATGTTTTATTCATCATTATGTATTCTCTTTTTAAAAGAGATCCATCAATTGTATAAGTTCCTACACAATCCTGGATCTGGCCCAAGTAGCTCTTTTGACCTGTGTTTGTACTCAGGAAGTTTGTTTGGATCACAGTTTCCACCAGGAGATGCTTGTCCCCCTCCCTTGAGAGAGAAAGAGATTTTTCTGAAAAGGCAATTTGTGCCTGTGAATGGTATAGACCAGGAGAAAAAATGTTAACCACAAGTTTTGATGAATTTCAGTCTCCAAATACTAAGATTCCAATAACTTATTCTCTGCAAATATATCCTCACAAATATGCAGGAGAGGGGAAAAGTAACCCCCCAACCCCAAGATGTTGGGGCAATTCAGCTACTGCCACAGTGTTCAGTATACAGAAAGCAGGGCTGTGGGCTGGGGTTGTGGCTCAGTGGTAGAGCATTCGCTTAGCATATGCGAGGCCCTGGGTTCGATCCTCAGCACCACATAAAACATAAATAAGATAAAGGTACTGTGTCCAACTACAACTAAAAAATAAATATTAAAAAATAAAAAAAAGAAAGAAAGCAGGGCTGTGCTGGGCTATGTGTGCCATGTGACATCATGTTGAGATAGCCTACCTCCACCCAGAGATCAGAGCCACATTAATAGTTCTCACTACACACAAAGCCTTTTCTGGTACCTCATTATCAGAGAGACAAAGCCTTTATTTTCTCAATGAATAATAAAGCTGAAGATACAGATATACCCAGAAAGTATAATTTATTAATTGAAGTTCACTCCAAAATGATTGCAATTACATCCTTTCCAGGTCAGTTTCAACTGAGGAAAGGAAAAGGAGACAAAGACTGGAGAGCAACTTTAGAGAGAGAAGACTCACTTTCCATGAAAGGAGAAATTGGAAAGGAATCATTTCTACATCCAAATGCTGCCTGAAGCCTGGTTGGAGAAGAAGACAGGAGAAAATTTTTAATAAGAAAAATATACATGAATGTATTCATAGTGGATAGAAATAGCCTTAAAATATGCAAAGAAAGAAGGAAACCCATCAGGAAACACTTACTGCCAGCCCTCCCAGAAACATGAGATGGAAAATTACAACAAGCTGACCACAAAGCTTCCCAGACTCCAAGACGTGACTTTTTTGAGTTCTTTCATATTTAACAGTACATCTGCTAATGTTCCAGGAGATCTCAATATAATCTTTAGTCCTATTTTTACTCATTGGGAGGTACGTTTGGATGCAATTTCTTTTGGGGAATGCACTTTTTTTCATTTTTGAGAAAAGACATATTTTAACACTGCTTACATATATGACAAATATTTTTATATAGTTGATAGATCTCTCTGGGAAAATATCTCATGCTGAAATAGCAAATAAATATCTTTCATTTCTGTAATTATAGAAAGATTCTAGGTCATGTGTTTCTTCTAGCAATACTATTTTTTGAGAGAAAGTTGTATATGTGTGATAAAGACAGAAGGGCCATTACATTTATAATAAATTTTGTCTACTTGTGAATATCATTTAACAGGGAGAAAGCATTGTAGTAATCATTCAGTTGAAGCTTAAGGAAATTAAGGCCCACAAAAGTTAAAATATTTAGCAGTTGGTAACAAGGATGAAACCAGAATGTAAATTAATTGATTCCTAGTCCAAGGATTTTTTTCAGCACACCAAGTTGCATCTTATAACATAACTCTATGAGAACACTCAGCAAATACTTCTTGAATGAATGGCCAATGAGTAAACATTAAAAGTGGGTAGCTAGGCAGTTTTTATCAGCTTGGCAATGCTCATCACCCTATTTTATAATCACCAGGGAACAGCTTAAAAATACAGATTCCTGTGCCTGGAGGAGAGGATCTAAGAACCTGTATTTTAAAAAAAGATTCTCGTGATCGCTTTGGCAGCACATATACTAAAATTGGAACGATACAGAGAAGATTAGCATGGCCCCTGCACAAGGATGACATGCAAATTCGTGAAGCGTTCCATATTTTTTAAAAAGGAAAAACAAAACAAGCTTCTCAGGGGATTCTAGTACACAGCTGTGTATAAAATGCTGAGTTCCAAGAGGTTATCTTACAGAGGAAGCTGACATGGGCAGCATTTTTCACATCAAAGGGCATCTCTTAACTCAAGGTGCTCTTCCTGGCAGGGCTGGCAAAGTTGGTTCCTTGCAACTTCTTACTTCATTCCTTACTCCTTTCAAGACGTTCAGATTCCCTCTAAAATTTTTCTAGATAGCAGTGAGGTGGCAGGCTGTCATCATTTTAGGTCTCTAATAACATAAGTGGGATAAACTCCTTACTGGGGCTGGAAAGCAGGAGAGTTGGAGGGTATTCAAGGGATGTTATTTATGCTTACAGAGAGCAGTCATAGGAATTGAAGGATAGCAACAGTTTAAATTAAAAAAAAAAGAATTTCAACAATTCAGCTACAACTTATAAAATTTTTTGGAAAGACTGTTGGGCTAGAAGGAGCATCTGTGTTTAGGATGAGTCATTATATGGAACACACTACTATTGACCATGAACATGGAAATAGCTTTGTTATTTATCAGAATGTTTTGCTAGAGTCACATTTTATTAGTTCTGAAAATACGTTGTAGAAACTGACATAATTTTCTCTGTAGGTTTTCTATTAAATTAATTGCAAAAAAAAACCAGTTTGGAAGGATAAACTAACATATTTTATAATATATAAGGATGAATATTCAGAAATGTATTGAAAAATACAAACCTTTAACAAGCAGTTCATAAAAGATAACTATAAAAATAACAGTATTTCTGCTAATGCATAGACTGTTTCTTAACTGACATTGGACATATTAATAGATTATGAGAAAGGCCAAGTCCATTCCAGTTGACCATGGCCCATATAGATTAGCATATATCCCCCTGCCTGGGGATACGGTGATCCACTTGTCTTGCTGCCACCAAAGACATGCTGCTGTTCATAAGTCCCTGAAAAATTGCATTTTGTACAATCCTCGATCTGTCTCTTTCTTTGGTCCCACAGCACTTTCCATCTTTGATGACTTGTACTCAGACACTAAGACTGGGTTTTTCTGGAACCGTCGGTATTATATCCATAATAGTCAACTTTTGATTAACTTGGAAAGGGTTGAGTTTTGTGGAGTTCTTCCTCTTGAGTATGTTCAGTAATGATTTGACTGGCTACAGTAAATGGTTATGGATGAAGTTCAAGGGCTTTATTCCCCATATGCTTTCAAGCCCTGGTGGGTGAATGTACAGGTTGTGCCTTGCATAAGTGCATTGGGTCTAACATGATGCACATGAAGGCTGGCATTGAGCGTGTGCTCTGGTCATCAAGCTCTATGCCCTGAAAAGGGTTGAAATGGTTGAGAGAAAGGGAGGCAATGCCTCTTTGTAGTCCTGTATTTGTTTTCAGTTTAGTGCAGCAAGATTCTTTTAGTCTCTTGTGTAGAATTAACTAGTTTAAGGACCAGATCACCACAGTGAAAAAACAAGACATTGAAGGAACTGAGAAACAGTTTCTGCTGGCAAACATAATACCCACCCCAAAAATACCTCTTGTCATTTTTATTCTTTACTGATTCAAATTAGACATCAAAGCATTCATATTGGGTAAAACCTAAATTCACATAATGAGGTGGAAAAATAATCAAAATCCAGGTTTTAATTATGGAAATCATACAGGAGTAAAATGTTATGAAGGTGATGAGTATGGAAAAACCTTCTCTTCTATTTTTATGTGACACCAGAGTGTTCATGCTGGAAAGAAGAGAGGAGCCTGCCCTAGATGTGGTTAAGTCCTTCAGTTGCTAGCCAAATATCTTTGATCACCAGAGAATTCATGCTCAGTTAAACATGCAGCCCTGCAATAAATATGAAATATGATAATTCAGTGGAATAGAAGATTTTCATATGGGTTCAAGATTCTTTGGTAAATTTTCAATTAAGAGCAAAACTCATCTTTTTCTAATTATATTTTGATTTTACTCAGCAAAATGCCACTCAATAATGGTTTTTGCTCTAAGTGTTGAAGACAGATGGAAACCACTTGCCAACTCAAAGATTTTTGTTTTTTTGGAAATATCTGCTCCCCAAAGAAAATCCTTTACCTTTCCTTATGCTGTTTTCTATGCCTAGAAATCTTTCTTCATCTCAAGTTAACATATTTTTTTTTTTAAGGAGAGAGTGAGAGAGAGAGAGGGAGATAATTTTTTAATATTTATTTTTTTTAGTTTTCGGCGGACACAACATCTTTGTTTGCATTTGGTGTTGAGGATCGAACCCGGGCCGCATGCATGCCAAGCGAGCGCGCTATCGCTTGAGCCACATCCCCAGCCCTCAAGTTAACATCTTAAATGTCAATTCCATTGTCCATCTGTCTTTGACTTTTCTAAGAAAAGTTAGTCACTCTCTCTGGTTCCACCTTTATGCTTTATTCATAAATGTACTCCAAGTCTTGGCACGATAAAGGTTTGTTTATGACTTGTGAGGCCACTGGATTATGAATTTTTGTTGTTTTAGTGTTGTTGTATGAATGGATTTTTTGGCAATGCTAAAAGCAAATGAAGTTTTCATGTGGTTTGATATTTTCAGAAATATTTGTGGCTAAAATTTAAAAAAAGGAATGTAAAGTAGTATTTTTTTATTGTGCTCATGCAATATATAAAACACCACCATGAAAGAATGAGATGTGGTTTCTTTCCCTAAAAATAGTAAGGGAGATAAAGTATATAAATAAGTAACCACAAGGTAAGGCAGGAAGTGTTTTAAGTCCACCAAGAGAAATGCAGATAAAGTGCTAGGGAAGGACAAAAGGGAAGATACTGCTTCCTGCTTTGGGGTGTAGTCAGGGCATCCAAGAGAGGATCTTGGCTTATTGTTAAGTGTGTCCATTTTTCAGCTTTTTATTATAATTAGGGGAATATAAAGTTAAATGTATGTTGCAACAGGAAAGTATTTTGGAGAAGATAAAGAGATATTCCTGAAAATTAAAGTAAAAAAAAAATCTAATGAGTTTCCTAGAAAGATATCATCATTCTTAACATTTAGCAGGGATGAGAGGTGGGAGGGAAAGGGAGAGAGAAGGGAAATTGCATGGTAATGGAAGGAGACCCTCAGGGTTATACAGTGGAGGGGGTAGAGAGAGAGGAGGGGTGGGGAGGGGGGAGGGTGGAGGATGGGAAAGGCAGCGGAGCACAACAGACACTAGTATGGCAATATGTAAATCAATGGATGTGTAACTGATGTGATTCTGCAATCTGTGTATGGGGTGAAGGTGGGAGTTCATAACCCACTTGAATCAAAGTGTGGAATATGATATGTCAAGAAATTTGTAATGTTTTGAACAACCCACAATAAAAAATTAAAAATAATAATAAAAAGATATCATCATTCCTACCTTGTTAGCACCTAATCATCTTCATTAATTTGTATATCACTGCAAGTGAAATGGCATTTTGTGTGTGTGTGTGTGTGTGTGTGTATCAGGCCAAATTGGGGTATAAACTTTCTTTTTTTCTTAGAGTGACCTCAGACTTAAGTTGAAGGGCCAGATTTACTTATGGTTAAATCCAGCAGAAGAATATGGTTCTTTCTCCGCCCCCCCAGCTGGAATTATATTTTCCCACTTTTTTATTAGCACATTATAGTTGTACATACTGATGGGATTTGTTGTTACATATTTGTACATGCACAATATACAATATAACAATATAATTTGTCCAATATCACTCCCCAACACTTTTTCCTCTCTCTCTACACCTCTCACCCTTTGATTTTTTTTTTCCTCTACTGCTTTCCCTTTGATTTTTCATGAGATCTGCCATTTTTCTTTCACTTTTCCTCTCTAGCTTCTACATATGGGAGAAAGCTGTCCCTTCACCTTCTGAGTTTGACTTATTCCACATAACATAATGGTCTCTTGTTCAATTTACCTTCCTGCAAATGCCATAATCACGGTTTTCTTTATGGATGAATAAAACTACATTTGTACATATATATTTTCTTTATCCATTTATCCATGGATACCTAGGCTGGACATCTAGGCTGGTTCCATAGTTTGGCTGTTGTGCTAATATAAATATGGGTATGCATGTAACATTGTAGTGTGATGACTTTAATTCTCCAGGATAAATACTGAGGAGTGGCATAGCTGGGTTATATGGTGGCTCCTTGCCCAGCCATCCTGATTCCCACAGTGGTTGTACTAATTTACGATCCCACCAATAGTGTAAACGTGTTCCTTGTTCTCCACATCATCTCCAGCATTTATTATTAGAACAATGGCAATACTTGGAAATAGGGCATAAGATTTTAGGCATCAGTAAACTAGATAAGCGTAACAAGATGGTAAACGTTTTGTCAACTAAGGTTTAAGTGAGGTTTAAAAAAACATAAAAGCTTTACAAATTTCTGTAAGTTATCATTCCCTATTAGAGTTAAAAATAAAAGTGATGGAAAAAAATTATGGACAATATTGTCAAAGAATACCTACTTACTTTAATTTTCAAAAGATGAACATAAAATATCTTCTTTATCAGCAAACTAAATGTGAAAGTCTATTTGACCGAAATATAAATTTTACATAGGAAAGAAAGTAATGTCAATTTCAAATTAAAGTTCCAGTTTCCTTTTGAGAATGACATTGTGGGAAATGTCATGGATGAGATCAATCGTGGCAGAGACAAAATGACTGGGCATTTAGATGGACATTTTCAAGCCTCCCTTGCAATTAAATATGCTGGGTGACTGAATTCTAGTCAAATGAGGTGATGTATGCCACTTCTAGAACTGATCCATAAAAATTTTCCTATGCACTTACCCTTTCTCTGGTTGAATGTAAGTAAACACAACAACATTCAAAATCATGTGTTAAAGATGGAAGAACCACAAGATAGGCTAGGTCCATCTTAAAGGAGAGCCAGTTGCCATTAGGAACACTCATTGTGAACTTCATGTGTGCAAGAAATAAAATTTTCTGTTATTGTACATTTGAGTGTTAGT